ATCGTGAAATACTTTTGTATGGTAATTTGCTCTTATTGCATAATCAATATTGTCTTACCCCTGGTTCCATCCTGAATAAAAGATGGAATAATTAGTTTTCTGGCGCTTCACTTCCTTTAACTATGGTATCTTAAGCTGTAAAGCCGAGCTTCCTGGAAAAATGATGAACAGTGATTAAAATTAGAAATCTAAGTCTTACATGAAAAAATGCAGCTTTTGGATATTTGTCCGCTGAATATTTTGGCCTCTTATCCAAAACTTTAAAAATAAGAAGACGACCGAAACCATTCCATCAAATTTTACGAGTAACGAGGAATAAAAATGAGAAAAACGAGAAAGAAAAAAGCTATAGAGAGGTCCTATCTGTGAATTTGCTCTTTTGTTAATGATGATTTTCTTTTAAAATGAAACCATACCAGGATCTGACCCTTTCTTGCAGTTTTTCTGTATAGCGTTTGAGACAAGAGGAGGCGCGATAGCTCAGTCGGTAGAGCAGTGGTCTCGTAATCCGGTGACCCGGGTTCGAAACAAAGGGGATTCGCTAGTGCCCTTTGGCAGCGGATAAAATCCTCATTACCAGGTCCCTCGGAAAGGACCCAAAGCCGTCGGCCATCTGGTTGTTTACTAATACAAGCATTTATGCTTTCTTCACCAGTCAGGTAAAATAACTACCACCCCCCCCCCCCCCCCCCCCCCCATTGTAAAACAAAACGAATAGGAGCGGATGCCCTAGTGGGAGATACAGCCCTGATAATCTTAAAATGACTAATATTCAGGCAACCACCACCACATATTCTGTCAGGGAACATCAAAATCGGTCAGACAGGTTGTCTAATAAATACTTTCGGTGGATGAAATCTAAATCACGTTTTGAATGAGAATGATATTCAAGTTTGTAGCTGGTTATAGGCTTTATAAACTCGCTCGCAAGCTTAAAAAAACAGGAAAATGCTGCATATTCGGGCAAGCGACGATATCCCGCATGGAAATTGTGTTATACAACGAAGCTCGCCCCCCCCCCTTCTGTCTCTTTCTCCTCCTCTCTCGCTCTCTATATAATCTATAATCTATCACCCTCTTTCTCTCTTTCTCTTTCTCTCTCTCTCTCCCCCTCTCTCTCTCTCTCTCTCTCTCTCTCTCTCTCTCTCTCTCTCTCTCTCTTTCTCTATAGATCTCTAGATCTCTTTCTAGATAATTTTTTTTTTTATCTCTCTCTCTAAATCTCTAGTCAGTGTCTCCTTTTTCTCGCGATAATTTATCCCATGCATGCACAGTCTTTATCCCCTTTACCTAGAACTCCCGCTCAATCAACGCGAGACGCTGATCAAGTGACGTCACTACCTACGTCAACAACCGTTCCTTCGGTTGTCTTCACGAAGCCCACGATGAGCAGGCGATCGATTGCGGTTCCCATGGCAATCAGTATCACTTTCCCCCCGCTACGCGTCGCAGGCCGGGCAGAAATTGCAAACGGTCGTCTGCATCGGGTTGAACGATGAGATTGACATTACTGAGGTAATAGAATTAATGTATGTCGTTATACGTTCCAGCTTACGACCCAACTACGACAAAATATGACAGAAACTGAAACAGGATTCGATTCACTGGCGTAGCCATATTTGTTGAACAAGGGGAGGGGAGGGGGCACAGACGGAAGAGGAAGCGTGGAGGCGTGGGGCGTGGGGGCGTGGGGGCGTGGGGGCGTGGGGGAGTGGGGGTAACATACCAAACTCATCTCCAAACAGGTAGGAGTAGGGTTAAGGTCTTGACCCCTGACCTTTCATGGATTATCAAAAAACTTCTGACATTCAAACAAAAAGAATTTTTAAAAATGAAAAAAAAGAAAGAAGAGCATATTTTGGTTAAGGTCTGTTTCCGAATGCAAACTCCCTCCTAACGCCCCAAGCTTCCAAGCCCCATCCAACTTACATAATATCGACCCCACCAACCCCGGGACCTCATCTATTAACAGAAAAGCCAAGTTGCGCCCCCCCCCCCCTTACCCATTCCCCAATTTCCCCCAAAATGTTCCCCTATTCTACTTTCTATAGGCCGGCCGTATATTATATTGTACCCCTCATCCTGGAATTTCATGCAGTATTTGATATGCATATTATTATGACGATTCCGGACCTTATTTTGTGTTTTTCTTTCCTTCTTCTCGGAATTCAGTCATTGGTCTAACTATAGGTCGTAAAATGGGCGTTGGCCAGAATGATATCAGTCGATTTCATCATGTTATCTTTTTTCTTCCTTGTTTTATTTTTACATTAAACGGTCTTTATTTCCTTTCCTTTTTCAAAGTATTTTTTTAAAATTGAAAATAAAACTCAACTGTCCTTGATAATCTCTCAAAGAAACCCAAGAAGTATTTCCTTTTCTTTTTTAAAGTATTTTTTAAAATTGAAAATAAAACTCAACTGTCCTTGATAATCTCTCAAAGAAAACCCAAGAAGGCTGAGCCACTATCACGAATCAAGATGAGAGAGAGAGAGAGGGAGAGAGAGAGAAAGAAAGACTGGGAAAGACAGGGGGAGAAGGGGAAGAAAGAGAGAGAGAGAGAGAGAGAGAGAGAAAGAAAGAAAGAAAAAGAGATATAGATAATTATAGAGAGAGAGAGAGAGAGAGAGAGAGAGAGAGAGAGGAAGGTGAGACCAAATAATGAGAGAAAATCTACACCTACCCCCCCCCCCCCCAAAAAAAAAAATTACAAGAATTTTCAGAATACTAATTTTGTTTTAATGGTGGAGATACGGGAATATCTGAGTTAAAACAGTTGTTAGGATTCCTCCACAGGCAAAGGGGGGGGGGGCGTACACCCTGCGGCCCTAAGGAAAAAAAAATCATATCGCTAAAATTTGCGCAATGTATAACTACAAGGACGGACTGAATAAAGGTAGATTGAAGAGTTTTCCTTCCCGTGGGCCATTTGATATTTTGGCTTAAGGGCTGGTCGATGTGGTTTGAGGCAGGTTAAGAAGCCTGTCCAGTTAGTTCAAATTACTTTTTGCACTGTTCTTGTATTTTTGCATTCTCTGGAATTAAATGTCAATCCACACTTTTCATATAAGAGCCTGCATAGACCATGCATGACTTTGTATATCACGTGTTGTCTGTCATGCTGAGGCTCTATAATTCGAATAATAATTTATTGTTGTAATAAACTAATTTGGTCGGTGGTGAGAAGCCAACAAAAAGGGTAGGTCTATGATGTGTTATAGTACCCTTTCACCAGTTTCACGAAGGCAATGTATTTGGAAATACTTAGCATGTTTGGCTGAATAAATTGGACGACGGAGGCATAAACGAAACCGTATAACGATTGAATAATGAATGACGTGGAAAGTGACCTTTTGTGGACATTTTTTCCTCTGGATTTTTTTGGTTGAAGATTGGTATTCCGAGAAGCCGGTATCATTATCAGCAGGCATCCCTGTACTGTCTTTCCCCATTAGATGGCGCTATAGCAGAAACAAGAATAAACACCATTATAACGGCATATAGCCTGTTGATTCAAAAGAACTTGTAGACTACCGAAATAAAGAAGGACAATCGAATTAAATGTCATTAATTAATTTGGTTGATGTATTTTACCTAATTGTAATCGTCAATATTTTATGATTGAGATGATTGTCTTAAATGAAAAAAAGTAATGCAATCATCGGATATACATCATTCAGCTCACTGTTCGAAAATCGTCTCCCCCCTCTCTCTCTCCATCTCTCTCTCTATCTCTCAGTAACAATCATCTTCAATTTTGCCACGCGATTCAGTATGCCGAACGTTACCTCACTTATTTCATAGAGAAATTGAGAATAAGGTTGATTTGTTTTCAGAGTGAGGGAACTGACACAAAATATATGACAAAATAATAGCACCACTGACGTACATAATCGATATGCAGAAGCCAAAAATCCACACAATCATTTTGCCTCATATTATATAGTTTATGTAGGCGTACAAATAAAATGTATTATATTTATACAATCGAAAGCAAAGCTTCACGGTCAGTATCAAACAAAAGAATAAAAAATAGGGCCCGGTGTAAAGATACAGATAAACAAAGGAATAGGCCTACATAATAGTAGACCGTAGACAGAAAGAAAAATAAGTATACTAGTAGACATGCAGATAGACAGGTATAAAGATAGATAGCCAGCAAATAGAAAGAGATCGGACAGATATATAGATAGATAGATAGCTATTAAAATAAATAAACAAATACTGAGGTACCTGGGAACTTGCATATAGAGTGATAGAGAAATTATGTAGATTGAGATAAATGGAAAGGAAGACATGAACCGAGAGAGAGAGAGAAGAAAAAAAAAGAGAGGGGGGGGGGGGGGGGGGGGGGGGGGGGGGGGGGGGGGGGGGGGGGGGGGGGGGGGGGGGGGGGGGGGGGGGGGGGGGGGGGGGGGGGTTCATATACGTGTACCTATGGCCCATGGTTTCCAGTAAGACCTCATGGGGGGGGGGGAGAAGATTATGAAGTGACCCGGGTTCGAAACCAAGTCAATGCGCTATAGACAAGTGCCCTGTCCTCCGACCAGGTCCCTCGGAGAGGACCTAAAGCCATCGGCCGTCTGGTTGCTTACTTACAAGCATTTATGCTTTCTTAGCAGTCAGGTAAAATATCCACCACCACAGTCAACTACAAGGTTTATTTCTCTGAAAAAAAGTTCAAGTATTATAAATAAACGTTAGGGGGTGTGTCCCGAACCGGCAATTGAGCTTCGCGGCTGTGGTCAACTTTCAACCTTTCCATTTCAACCTACCAAGCTGAGCTGAGCATCTACCCCTAAACTTTAAAAATGTAAAATAATCAAGTTAACATACTCATGTTTACATTAATATGTTTTAAACAACTATTCGACATTTTGCTTCATTAAACCACCAATGACAGAGAGGCGAAACACAGACCTTTTAACAACAAAATTCCTCTCGATTCGCGGTACTTGGCGATAGCACGGGAGCCGAACAATTATTTATAAACATCTATGACGTCATTATTGGTATATAATTCAGAGACCATCAGAAACATGGCGACCGTTTGCACTGCGAATCCTGTTTCTGGTGCTTGTAATATCACTATTTAGTGTTTCAGTGTACTCTTTCAGACTCGGATCGAGGGCAAAAACCCTGCATTTTCCCCACCAAGAAGCAGATGATGGAATAAAGAGGATAAGACGGAGTGTTCCCACCGAAAATGAAAGTCCAGCCCATCAATCGCGGAGGGCGAGACAAGCAGATAATCGACCCGATGAGTCTGCGGCAAGTCCCGGTGAAGGTATTCAAGTCACAAAGGTGTGTGTCATTTTACTGTCAACTTTAGCTTTACGCGGTTGTGCAACTTGTTCGATTGTTGTTTGTTTTGCACATGGGTGCTCCGCAGTGCATATGAATACCTGACCCATTTGTCTTGTGTAAGATTTACTAATGTAACTAGATCTAGACAGTTTCACAATTATGATGTGATTCAATGATCAGATGATTGATGATAGAGTCTAGTGAGTGTCAATGTGAAACTGAAGTAGATCTAAAGACCGTCCATAGACTAGAGAATAGAGAGCAGTCATGTTTCACCACGTTTAATGACATTGTTCCGAGTGTCAGTTGATAATGATTAATGAGATATTTTTTAGGTCTAATTGGATAGATCCAAGAAAGTCAATTCATGATGTCAATCAGTCAGTCTAGTCTACTTCTTTTCTCTATCCCCTTTCCTCATGTTGTTGTCCTCTGTTGTCTGCCCCCCACCCCCCACCCCCCACTCCGGGGTCGGCCGTCGGAGGGACCGCATTCATGTTCCCCAAATCTCTGGTGAAGGCGTACTTTTCATGCAACAAAGCCCGGCCTGTAATACACAAAAATCTGGCCTCTTTTAACTTTACACACCGGAAAAAAGGAAGGTGCTTTCAAAGGGAGGGAACATGATAAACAAACAATCAAACATAGACTAGACTAGTAAGTAATAGTAGACCTAGATCTAAATGTAAATAAATATAATGAAAATAAATAAAATTCCGTTTTTCCACCATACAGTTTGATCGAATTGAGATCTAACAGTTAGACTTAGGTCTAGGCCCAAATTCACAAAGGAGGTTAAAATTTCACCCATGGTTTAAATCATCATTTACATGTACATGTACTGGTAACCCATGGTCTAATATTAGCGCAAAATAAGCGTGACACAGACAGAGGTCCAATATTAGACGCGCGCAAGGCAAGGTATGCTTTAATATTTTGCACTAATTTTTAAACCATGGGTTATAAAGTTAAACCTTTTTTGTGAATTCGGACCATAGAGTTTCATTTTTATTTTGAGAACTGGGATTTGCCTTAAATCAAGATGAATCAGCAACGTTAAAGATAAAGTTGAGTTCTGGTCATGCAATTGCATTGTGACAGAAACGTTGTGGAATCGATCAGAAAAGGTTGATCATCTAGCATTGGTGTGTGCTGCAAGGTTCTGGAATCATCAAAATGATAAGAAAATTGGCCCAGTCTTGGTAAAGTTACAAGCACTGTACACAGTGAGCAGTATATGGGACTACACAAACTTGTGGCATACAAATTGGGCCTATTTTTAAGCTGTTACTTGTCATATTAGAATATGAAAGCATTTGAAGAGACATGCTTTTTTAGGGGACATTTTTACTCTGATGTATGATAACTCTCACAAATTATTTTTCACCTCTTCCCAGAACTCAACCTTCTCTTTAATTTACACTGTTTTCATTTGTTTCTCCACCATACTAGTTTGACCTGAATGACCCCCATCCTGAGCTGATCGTTCATTGGGCAGGCGAGGACAGCGATGTCATCATCTGCCTCACCCGTGACATCACGCAAACCACCCAATCAGAGAGCTACGTCTATATCTCCAGTGACTATGGGGTAACGTTCGTGAACAAGTCGAGTACGATGTTCAGAAGTTTTTTCCACGAGGCCTGTCTACGATCGCTTCTACAGCAGCAAGGCTGACATCCAGAGAGTAAGTTTAGCATTAAAGGGGAAATCTACCCTAGAATTTAAGATAAACTTGAGTATGCCAACATGTCTTGGTTCTGGGAAAGTTGGTTATCTGAAAAGCCAATTTAAAACAGTAATTTGAAGAAGTTTACAAGCAATATTTCATTAATTTTTTTAAGGCTTATGTTGGACAATATTATTAAGGACAAGTACACTGTACGTGTATTAAATTTCATGTTGATTAGTGCTATTTAATGAATAGTTTTAGCCCCCGAAATGCCCAAAAGAGCCCCGAAAGTCATAAAACAGCCCAAAAATGTGCATAGAGTTCACTGCAAAACAAATTAAAGAGTGTTATTTTCATGGAAAGCAAGCTTGAAAAGTAGCCCCCGAAATGTTTTAAGTATGTTTTTCCCTGGTTAAATCCAAAGGCAAAGAAGAAGACTTGATTTGTTTTACGTGTCCAAACACACAACCCCCACCCCTCCACCATACTGGTCACACTATGAATATGACTGACAAAGAAAGCGGACAAAATATACAGTTCCTCAGGTAGACAAAGGAACATCCCTTCACTGCTATTATGTAAAACAGGTGTCACATGCATATTCACCTTTTTACATAATAGCAGTGAAAGGATGTTCCTTTGTCTACCTGAGGAACTGTATATTTTCTCCGCTTTCTTTGTCAGTCATGTTCATAGTGTCATACGCATGCGATTACATTGTGAAAAAAACTGTCTGGAAACAATTGGGAAAGGCTTCCACACTATAAACATGAAAGGAATGCAAAAGCTCATATTAAAAGGATTTTCCACCTTTTCCAGAATTCACCCTTTTCTTTTTTCATAAGGGGAAGTTCACCCTAGTATTGAATTGGTGAAAACAATTCTGGTAAATAGTTGAAGTATGTACACGTACGTGTATGCACACAATCTATTGAACATTTGAGAAAAAGCATTCAAGTAATTTATTACTACAACATGTACCAGGTACATGTACATGGAACCATGTGTACATGTAATGCACTTGGATGAAGGGTGATACATGTAAATACAATACCGCCCAGAAGTTATTGGGCATGCGGGATCGTGTTTCACGATAGGAGGTTAGCGTGATTGTAGACGGGTTTTATCGTGTTTTTATCGTGAGAAACATCGTGATTTGTATTCATCTCTATCATGATTTTTTTCCTCAACTTGATCAACTCGCTAAATCCCCGATGCATATCGTGATATTTCCTTTTAGTTTGTTATTATCACGATAGAACTGCGCACAGCATGCTGTATTTATACGCTTGCTGAGCCTGCGCATCCTCAAACATACCGATGCGCGCTTGCCACTGACGTCACAATCACTTGATTATTACATCACAAAAGCGTGAATGAATGCTCTTTTCATTCCATGCATAAACACGAGACAATGTGCTACGGGGAATGTTTGGGATTGCACATGCGGAGAGAAAAGTTATCCGATGAGAGAAGTGCAGAAACAAGAACCAGGTGTCTAATTGGCCTTTCCCACGATACGACATTTTTTTTTTTATTTGAGGGGGGAGGAATGTTTGGGATAGCTCATATCATGGCAGAGGAGATCCGAGAATATATCAAGAGTTAGACCGAAAGCTTCAGTCTCTAATATCGACGGCTATTCCGCTTATGTTTAATCCGAGAAAGACTTGTCGTTAACATTATTTGTTGCGCAGCCATCTTGATTTGAGTTAATGAATGCTCTTTTTTTTCCCGGACGTCCGATACCTACATGTGCGTACGAGTCAGCACAGCTTGACGCGGTGATATTTTGATATTCATAAACGCGTGATCTAATTCGCCTAAATTTCGCCATTGCAATTACTTGATTAAAATTGTAAGAATTTTAAGAAATATACATACTTTCTTATGTCCGATTTATTGATCGGAAAATTAGATCTAAATAAGGAAAAACGGGAAGAAAAGAAAGGCTCACCCCCCCCCCCCCCCCCCCCCCCCGTCGTGCGAGCCGTAAGGGTCACCGTCTGTGTATATGAGGCGCCGTTTGTAAAACAATTATATAGACAAATTATATATTATATAATCATTATTTAACAAATAATAACCATTATTTACATATAATGCAAGAAAATGTACATTTTTATTTGTATATAATTCTTAACACATTTTTATTATTTATAAATAATGACAAAGAACGTTTCATTATTTATATATAATTGCCATTATTTATAAATAATTACAATTCACACTTTCATTATTTATATATAATAAAAAGCGTATTTCAATTATATAATATATAATGAAAAGCACATTTCCATTATATAATATATAATGAAAAGCGTATTTCCATTATATAATATATAATGAAAAGCGTATTTCCATTATATAATATATAATGAAAAGCACATTTCCATTATATAATGAAAAGCCATTTCCATTATATAATATATAATGAAAAGCGTATTTCCATTATATAATATATAATAGAACGCACATGTCCATTATATAATATATAATGAAAAGCGTATTTCCATTATATAATATATAATGAAAAGCACATTCCATTATATAATATATAATGAAAAGCACATTTCAATTATATAATATATAATGAGAGGCGTATTTCCATTATATAATATATAATGAAAAGCGCATTTTCATTATATAATATATAATGAACAGCGCATTTCCATTATATAATATATAATGAAAAGCGCATTTCCATTATATATTAAATAACGATTGTGTATGCAAATGTAAATGGTTGGTAACGCCCATAATATGAATATTCATGAGCTTGACTGATATTATTATCCTCTATTCCAGGCACCTTTCCATTTTGTGTTCTTTGTGCATTCTTATCAGAAATCCTACGTGCGGTAAATAAGTCTCTGTATCACCATTCTCCTTCTTATTTGTATGCAGATTTGGTTAAAATGATTGATAACTGTAATCATCCTTATTATTTTAATAAGAAATTTTTCTATCTGTGATGGAAGTTTTTATGTACGATTGCCTGATCTGAAGACAAGACTTTCGCTGCATGCATATTTAATGTATGACGTCACCCACACAGAGTGAGAGCTCGAGGTTTTCTTTGAAAGTTTGATGGTGAGTACAGCTGTAATTACGTTCAAATCTCGTAAATTAATCATATTTATAAACATATCTGCTGTAGGTATAAATCTGCTGATTTGTCTGTACATTGTGAAGTGGTTTAAAATGGTTATATCTGATGAATTTAGGAGTAATCTACACTCGAACTTTTGATTAGTTATTTATCGTCGTGAGAATATTTCAGCTCGATTGCCATCGTCACTCCTTGATCCTTGGCCCAAACTTTCGGGCGAGACCCTCTCTGAAAATTAGATACGAGTATAGGGTCTAGACTATAGGCAGATCACTTCACTAGCGCTAGCTGCATCAATGATCCAAGCTTTTTGTTACTTTTAGGTCCAACTGTTGAAAAACTACTTTCATAGTTGGGTCAGAAGAAAGTTAATAGCTAACACTAAAAAGCATGGTCACAGTTGACATGAGTTGTGAACAAGCGCCAAAATTTGGACCAGATACCGAGATAGTTAGACAAGTACGAGAGTAGAAAATTTGAGGCCTAGGCCTACAGACCAGTAAATAATTGGACTACCTGTGAACAGGCGCGGATCCAGGATTTCTTAGGGGGAGCCCAAATTTGAAAAAAATCTGCACCACCCCACTCTTTCATGCAGGTTCCGCTAAACGTTTCTCTAAGTAGGTGAAGGGGGGGGGGGGGAGGTATTTACGATCAAGTAGAGCGTTGTGAAATTGGCGTGGTGTCTAAGGGCAAAGAACGTGTGGGGGTGAAGGGGTGGAACCCCCAGAAGCTCAGGGGTATAGGCATTTAATTGCGGTCAGATGAGCATATTAGCATAACTTATTTGTGACACTGGCAGGACACTAATTGGCGTCACTATTCTTTCTTTCTTTATGAATTTGCCATTGTCCCACAAACGCATTAAAAAGTATAATTTATTAAACATTAAGGAAAAATCTCGGAAAATTATGTCATTTCAGCAACATTTGTAAATCACCGGTAATCACCGGTATCGAATTAGAAATAAACCACGTTTGAATTATATTTGGGGGGCATCTGTCAACCCCCCCCCCCCAAGTCCCCTTCCCCATCAGTACGCCAGTGCCCCTCCCCCCCCCCCCCGATCTACACGTAACTGATCTCCCCTACCTTTCTTCTTTCTCTTTTTTTCTTTCCCTTTCTCTCCTATTTCCCTTTCCTTTCCCTTCCTACTCTCTGTTTTAGGTTTGCTAGGGGGAGGCAAGGGCCTTTTGGCCCCCCCCCCCCCTCCCCGATCCACACATTGTTGGCGAGATTAATCGCAACTGTTCTCCCCTTCTTATCTCTCTTTTCTTTTCTTTTTCCTCTTTTTTGTTCCGTTTTAGCTCTCCTCTATCCCTTTCCCTTTCTCTTCCTTCTCCTTTTTTTTTGGGGGGGGGGGAGGGAGGAGGAGGCAAGGGCCTTTGCCCCCCCCCCCAAACTACAACTTGTTGGCAGGAAAATTGCAACTGATTTCCCCCTTCTTTTCTTCTTCCTCTCTTTTCCTTCTCTTTATCCCCTCTTTACTTTTTTTCTTTCCCTTTCCTTCCTTCTCTTTTATTTTTTGATGGGGGGAGGGGGAGAGGTTACAGCTGGGAGGCAAGGCCCTTTCGGCCCCCCGATCTCCTTTTCCCCATTTTCTTTTCTTCTTCCTCTTCTTTCTTTCCCTTTCTCTCCTTTTTTCCTTCTTTTCCTTCTCTCTCTCTCTCTCTCTCTCTCTCTTTTTTTCTCTGTCATATATAGATGTAGGTCCATATCTATTTTGCGTTTTTTCAATTTGATAGAATGAACAGTTACAAGACATGCATCTAGATCATCTAGAGACTGTAGATCAACTAGATCTGGATCAAGGAATTGAATATAAATTTCAATGTTAGATAATGAAGGAGGGCTTTTTTGGTAAAGAGAAAATCCAAATTAAAATAGAACAGTTAATTCTGCA